TCTCCCGGGTTCAAGCAGTTCTCCAGCTTCAGCCTCTCAAGTATCTAGGACTACAGGTGCGCGCGAACACGCCCAGCTGTATTAATTTTTTTGTAGGGACGGGGTTTCACTATATTGCCCAGGTTGGACAAAGTTTTTTGTTTTTTCTTTTTTGAGACGGACTCTCGCTCTGTCGCCAAGCTGTCTTAGCCTCCTCAGCAGCTTGGACTACAGGCGCGCGCCACCATGCCTGGCTAATTTTGGTATTTTTAGTAGAGATGGCGTTTCACCCTGTTGGTCAGGCTGGTCTCGATCTCCACACCTCGTGATCCGCCTGCCCTGGCCTCCCAAAGTGCTGGGATTACAGGCGTGAGCCACTGCACCCGGTTAGAAAAAGTTTTTTTGTTTTTTTGGTTTTTTTTTTTAGACTAAGTGCTTCCATGTACATCAGATGTTAACGACTTTGATCCTAACAAAGATGAGGAAATTGAGGCTCAAAGATGTGTCCTGGCCTGGCTCAGTGGCTTATGCCTGTAATCCCAGCATTTTGGGAGGCCAAGGGGTAGAGATCGCTTGAAGTCGGGAATTGGAGACCCCCATCTATACAAAAAAATAAAAAATTAGCTGGGTGTGGTGGCGTGCATCTGTAGTCCTAGTGAGAGGGGAAGCCAGTTGGACTTCCTGGGTGGAGTGGGGACTTGGCCTTTTCTGTCTTACAAGAGGTTTGTAAAAATGCACCAATCAGCGCTCTGTAAAATGGACCAATCAGCAGGATACTAAAAGTAGCCAATCGCAGGGAAGACGGAGAAAAGGGCATTCTGATATGACAGAACTAGGACATGGAGGGGACAAATAAGGGATTAAAAGCTGGCCACCCCAGCCAGCAGCGGCAACCCGCTGGGGTCCCATTCCATGCTGTGGAAGGTTTGTTCTTTTGCTCTTCACAGTAAGTCTTGCTGCTACTCTTTGGGTCAGTGCCATCTTTAAGAGCTGTAACACTCACCGCGAAGGTCTGCAGCTGCATTCCTGAAGTCAGGGAGACCAAGAACCCACCGGAAGGAACCAACTCCTGACACACCACTTACTCAGGAGGCTGAGGTCAGAGGATCCTTTGAGCCCAGGAGGTCAAGACTGCAGTGAGATATGATCCGACCACTGCACTCCAGCCTGGGTGACAGAGCAAGAGTCTATCTCTAAAACAAAGTGCCTTGGTTGATGTCAAGCTGCTGGTGACTTGCAACTTGCATAAAATGAGAGGATCGCTTGAGCCCAGGAGTTCCAGACCAGCCTGAGCAACATAGTGAGACTGTGTCTCCATACAAAATTTAAATTTTTTTTTTTTTTTTTTGAGATGGAGTCTCGTTCAGGTTCAAGCGATTCTCCTGCCTCAGCCTCCCGAGTAGCTGGGATTATGCTTCGCGAGTAGCTGGGATTACAGGCGCGTGTCACCACACCCGGCTAATTTTTTGTATTTTTAGGAGAGATGCGGTTTCACCATGTTAGCCAGGATGGTCTTGAACTCCAGACCTCGGCTCACTGCAACCTCCGCCTCCTGGGTTCAAGCAACCCCCGTCTCCACCCCAGGCCCAAACAAACCAAACACTATTTATCAATCCAGGCATGTTTAATAACTAGACATAAAAATGTCACCTATGGTGCCAGGTGTGGTGGCTCACACCTGTAATCCCAGCACTTTGGGAGGCCAAGGTGGGTGGATCACCTGAGGTCGGGAGTTCAAGACCAGCCTGACCAACATGGAGAAACCCCATCTCTACTAAAAAATACAAAATTAGCCGGGCATGGTGGCTTATGCCTGTAATCGCAGCTACATGGGAGGCTGAGGCAGGAGAATTTGCTTGAACCCGGGAGGCAGAGGTTCCGGTAAGCCAAGATCGCACCACTGACTCCAGCCTGGGCAACGGGCAAAACTCCATCTCAAAAAAAAAAAAAAAAAAAAGAAAGAAAGAAACTAGTCATCTTGGCTATCTCTAGAGAGAAAAATGAATGTAGAAAAAGAATGAGAGGAAGACTTTAAGTGCCTTTCTGAATTTTGACTCATGCAAATCTGTTATCTATTTAAGAAATAAATTATTGAAATGCAAAAGGTATTTATAAATAATTCAGGCCGGTTGCGGTGGCTCGCCCCTGTAATCCCAGCACTTTGGGAGGCCGAGGCAGGTAGATCACAAGGTCAGGAGATCGAGAGCATCCTGGCTAACACGGTGAAACCCCGTCTCTACTAAAAACACAAAAAATTAGCCAGGTGTGGTGGCACGTGCCTGTAATCCCAGCTACTCGGGAGGCTGAGGCAGGAGAATCACTTAAACCTGGGAGGCAGAGGTTGCAGCGAGTCGAGATCGCGCCACTGCACTCCAGCCTGGGCAACAAAGTGAGATTCCGTCTCAAAATAAATAAATAAAAATAAATAAATAAATAATTCAAATGGAGGTAAATATATTAGAAAAGAATGGATATCCACCTTAAATTATTATTATTATTTTTTTTGAGACGGGCTGTCTCTGTCACTGAGGTGCTGAAGTGCAATGGCACACTCGTAACTCACTGCAGCCCCAACCTCTTGAACTCAAGTGATCCTCCAGTCTCAGCCTGCTGAGTAGTTGAGACTACAGGCATGCACCACCATGCCTAGCTAATTTTATTTTATTTTTTGCAGAGACAGGGTAAAAAGGGCAGGCCGGTCTTGAACTCCTGGATTCAAGTGATCCTCTCACCTCAGCCTCCCAAAATGCTGGGATTACAGGCGTGAGGCACCATGCCCATCTGGAGCAACTTTCATAGACATTAAACAACTTTATAAGGGCAACGAAATTAAGCCATAGGTGCAAAATCCTATACCACCTCACTCACACACAAAGTACAGGCAATGCAAACATTCACCTGGGGTTCGGTCCTAGATAGGAAGCTACTTACAATGCAAGATTTTAGGTTCCCTGAAAAGAGACCTTTAACTTCTAAATATCTTCTCATCTCTTTGCAGATTCTGCAATTTCACAGCAGTTCCTTCCTTCGCGCCTGTAAAACAGTGGCAACAGTAACTCTTCTCCTGCCTGCCCATCAACTTTGTGAACGGTGTGGGGCACTGGGGTGGGGCTTGGGAACTATAAGGCACCATATGAAAATATGAAAAGGAGAGATTGGCCGGGCGCAGTGGCTCCCGCCTGTAATCCCAGCACTGGGAGGCCGAGGCAGGAGCATCACCTGAGGTCAAGAGTTCGAGACCAGCCTGGGCAACATGGGGAAACCCGGTCTCTACTAAAAATACAAAATAAACCGGGTGTGGTGAGCGTGCCTGTAATCCCAGCTACTCGAGAGGCTGAGGCAGGAGAGAATTGCTAGAACCTGAGAGCAGACGTTACAGTGAGCTGAGATCGTGCCATTGCCCTCCAGACTGGGCAACAGAGCGAGACTCTGTCTCAGAAAAAAAAAAAAAAAAAAATCAGGAGAGATTATTACTGAGAGATGGGGTCTCACTGTGTTGCCGAAGCTGGAGTGCAACGGCACGATCCCGGCTCACTGCAACCTCAACCTCCAGGATTCAAGTGATTCTCCTGCCTCAGCTTCTCAAGTAGCTGGGATTACAGACTCGCGCCACCACGCCCAGCTAAGTTATTGTATTTTTAGTAGAGACGGGGGTTTCACCATGTTGGCCAGGCTGGTCTCGAACTCCTGGCCTCAGGTGATCCACCCACCTCGGCCTCCCAAAAAGCTAGCATTACAGGTGTGAGTCACGGAGCCCGTCCAAGGGAGGGTATTACAAATAGACGGGGGTCTCGAACTCTTGTGCTCAAGCTATCTTGCTTCCTTAGCCTGTCCATTCGCTAGGCTTACAAACATGGGACCCCGCGTCTGGCTGAAAAGAGGTTATCACTAAGGATGAGAACCCCTTGGCCAGGGAAGCCCTGCGTAAGCAACGCCCCTTCCTTCAAAGGGATGCCCCGCTCCCTCCGCCCATCCCCAGCCTTCTTGCCGGGGCTCCAGAGGACACGACTCCCGGCTCTGCCACCTTCTGATAGGCTTGCGAGACCGAGGCTGCAAAGAGAGCCGCGCCCCCATTGGCCAACCGGCGAGTCCCGCGCGCCCCCTCCTGGGAGATGTAGTCCTGGGAGCCGATGGTCCCCGCGACTCCCGGGTGTGACGTTGAAGATATCGGCCTTCTGAGCCTACTGCGGTGGTCAAGAGGTGGGTGTCTTTGGAAAGTGGGTAGTGAGAGTAGCGAGGATGCGGGTGAAGAAAACCCAAGGGCCCCAAATTCAACATAAGCGAGGTTTGCGAGCTCTCAGCAAGGTACAGACCTACTTCGAATCCGGGCGCAGAGCGTTGGGGGTGGGGGAAGGCGCAAGCTCCCCGGCCAATCAGACGCGAGCAACCTCAGCCCAACCCCGGAGGCCCTTCCCCTTCCCCCGCCCCACTGAAAGGGGAGGAGCTTGGGCTGTTTCGATGGCTTTGGGTTGGAGCAGGGGAGAGGGTGGCTCCGTTTGCCTCCTCGCTTTGATGATGCTGTGCGAGCGGCTTCGGGGGCCCTGGGGACGTGCGAGTCACTGAGGGTGGGCTGGGCCTTGGGGCCCGCGTCCATATCCCCGCCGATTGGTCCGCCCCGCCTGCGAGGCGAGGTCCTCCGGGATTCCTAGAGAGGACGCGGAAGTGCTTTCGGGGGGGTGGGATCTAACCGTTTAACCCCGTTGGACAGGGCAAGATTGGACTTGGTTACTTCCGGCGAGGAAGTGTTGGGAAGTGTCGGCTTCGGTTTCTCTCCGTGGGAAGAACCGCATCTTCCCAGCCTCGGCTGCGGGGAGCTTGATGTTCCAGGAGAGCTCCCCTAGAGTGGGGCCTTGAGGGGAGAGGGCAGGGGCTTCGTGACTGGACGGGGGTCCTGTCCCTAACCTTGACCGGGCCACAGTCTCTGTATCTCTGGGTCAGGGGCCATTCTGAGGAATCCAGGTTCAGATGTGTACCTTATAAACGCTGCTTCTCTTTGGGACCGATGGAGTCTCCCCTTGGCCTGTCAAGCTCTTGTAAGTTAGAGGACAGGCTCAGTTTTGACCATTATAATGATTTTCACCCCTATTCCGACTTAAGTTTGTCTTATGGTAGAGAGAAGGAGCGGCTGCGTCTGGACTAGTCTTGTCCCGTTGTTTATATGGAATGTAAAGTTCTTCACTCTAAAACTGTGTTTTAGGTTGGGCCTGATGTTAGATTTGTATGGCTCTCTAATACACTTTTTAAATGTTGGCGATATTCCTTATTACTTATCATTTTGTGGGTGAAGTGATGGCTACTTTGTAGTCCTTATTTTTAAGTAATTACTTTGTTGAGTAGTCATCTTTAGTATAGATGACCTCTTTGCCATCTGTCTTTGCTAATAATGATTCCCAATACGTCAGTAGGTTGCATGCTACTGAAAGTGTCCTTCAGAAGATCTTAAAGAGTAGAAAACCAATTGGTTCAGTGTAACACAGCCAGCCTCAAGGGACTTCCCTCTGAGTTGGAATGATAATGACCGAATCCCGGGAAGTTATAGACTTAGACCCCCCAGCTGAGACTTCCCAGGAGCAGGAAGACCTTCTCATAGTGAAGGTGGAAGAAGAAGACTGCACCTGGATGCAGGAGTACAACCCTCCAACGTTTGAGACTTTTTACCAGCGCTTCAGGCACTTCCAGTACCATGAGGCTTCAGGACCCCGGGAGGCTCTCAGCCAACTCCGGGTGCTCTGCTGTGAGTGGCTGAGGCCCGAGCTGCACACAAAGGAGCAGATCCTGGAGCTGCTGGTGCTGGAGCAGTTCCTGACCATCCTGCCTGAAGAGTTCCAGCCCTGGGTGAGAGAACATCACCCTGAAAGTGGAGAAGAGGCAGTGGCCGTGATAGAAAATATACAGCGAGAACTTGAGGAACGCAGACAGCAGGTGAGTCAAAGAGAAGCTATATGAGCAGTGAAGGAGAGGAGTGAACGATCTGCTGAGCAGGGGTGAGATTCTTAGTCCTCTGGTGCTTCATTCATATTCTTTTGTTCTCCTGGGATTAGGTACCCTGTGACTTCCTGCCACTCCAGCAAAGAGAAGCAATATCCAGTGTGTTAACCTGTAGAAGACAATCTGCGATTTTGTTTATTTTTTAAATTACTGTATTGATTGATTGATTGATTGATTGATTGTTGAGACGGAGTCTCGCACTGTCACCCAGGCTGGAGTGCAGTGTCGCAATCTCGGCTCACCGCAAGCTCCGCCTCCCGGGTTCCCGCCATTCTCCCGCCTCAGCCTCCGGAGTAGCTGGGACTGCGGGCGCCCGCCACCACGCCTGGCTAATTTTATTTTTTATTTTTTATTTTTGTATTTTTAGTAGAGACGGGGTTTCACTGTTTTAGCCAGGATGGTCTCGATCTCCTGACCTTGTGATCCTCCCACCTCGGCCTCCCAAAGTGCTGGGATTACAGGCGTGAACCACCATGCCCGGCCACTGTGTTTATTTTTTGAGTGACATGATACAAAATTCAAAGAGGTACATAAGGTTATAATGAAAAGTAAGTTTTCCCCCTATCCCCAATTTCTCTCAACTGCCTAGTTCTCATCTGTGTATTCTTACAGAGCTGTACCGTATTATGTATGTATAAGCATATATATATGTCTCATACTTTGGAAAAACTCAATTGTCTTTTAAGTCACTGTACACTTCTGCCTCTTTTTTCTTATATCTTGGTTTCTTCCATGCCACTGCCATTACAGCTATCTCGCTCTTTGAAATTGCATTGTATTAACGTCTATGGAAGGAGTTTGAGTTGTTCCATTTAAATTGTTCCTTGAGATTGTTTAATTTGTATTATAACAAACTTTGCTGCAATGAATATCTCACCAATGTATGAATATATATATGTATGTATGTAATATACATATGTATGTGTATATATACATATGGGCTGGGCATGGTGGCTCACACCTGTAATCCCAGCACTTTGGGAACCTGAGGTGGGAGGATCACTTAAAACCAGGAGTTCCCGCCGGGCGCGGTG